AATGTTAAAATATACCACTAACTGCAAGTTCTAACATGTAATCATGGTAATGGTGCAATATTAACGGAATATTCTGGAATGAAAATCTCCGGTCAAAGGTAACAGTATGCATATTGAAATATGCCAAGGGATGTTGTTTTCCTTTGTTATTGATATATCTTTTAGCGTGTTGCAACATATACATGGTAATACATGGCACGGAATTATTGTCCTAAATGAAATGAAATGTTGTTAAGGTTCTTAATGAAATAATACCTCATCATATTTATTACTCGAACATTATCTAGCACATCAACTACAAATTAAATTAAATCATAAGCAAAGAAAACGAAATAATTCATAGCATGGGCATTATACATTCATACAGCGGTACATATACGTTCCGAAAACGGAATGTGTTACACGTTCTTATAACTAAATCTGTTGCTATTATCTGACTGGTAGATGACTGTAAATGCGACTTGGAAACAATACAACTAATGACACTTCTGAAATATTTGAAGTTACATTAAACATTGAAATATGCGAAAAAAATATCCAATAAACCAAAAGAGCGTCAACTTGGTCTGTATTCTACATGTTAAGTACAAACAACGCCCATGTCTTAATATCAATTTACTGACTTCAGCAGGACGTGGTCATATTTCCATGGCATTGTTAGTAAAAAGACTTGGTGCCACGATCGTTTTGTGGAATTGACATCTCACACAGGTTCTCACACTGGTTGGAACTAAACTATATAAGTGTAATACAAGCAATATTTGAGACATACACGAATCATCTGTGTCTTTGTGTCCTGCACTGTATCAGTAAGTAGTTTATATTTATGGTCACCGATTCCATCAATGTTACGTTATAGTATCTCAATCGACCAATTATGTGTGTCCTTTCTAAACGTTAACAAGTAAGACAAACATGTACACGAGAATTCATCCTAATTGAATTTATATTTTGTAGTGCGTCACATTAAAAGATAACTTTTGGTGGTGACTTCAATATTCAACGTATATCGTCCATTCACCTTGCTAAAGGTCACGTTTTGATCTGTAAAAATCGTCAAGAGCAGAGATTACAATTTTCCGATTTAAAGTGATTTGGCAAGCCCAAGTCTCTAAAGGACAGAAGCATGCAGTCCTGACACGAGATGCTTGTAAATAGTGGATGCATCGTGACAGAATCATTGCACGTCATTATCAGAGCACTCTCAGCCGAAAGTGAGATGTCCTACTTCAACGCAACAAAGCCAATTACATGTAACAATGTACCTCGAAGCAATAACCGAAGTAATAACCTGAAATTGACATGTTATAGAGAGAATATCGAATTAGATACAAAATATGCCGGTGAAAGAAGTAATTCATCATTAATTTGAAGACTAAATTTCTACTCAACACCAAACCAAAAACGGACGATGACCGAAACAGCCATAGCTATAAGTTAATTTATAATTCATGATAGAAACGGCCATATTGCGGTTCAGTGTGGCAAACTTGCAACTGTGCATTCAAAATTGGCAAAGTCGCGTTTGACAACAGGCTAGTCGTGCTGTTTTTTTGCTGTATCTAAACTGACTAGCAAAAGAAAGTACACAGGTGTAATTGTTGTTGCAATCCCAAATATGCGTTCTAACTAATACAATTATTGAAAATCATTGATTGTATAGAACGCAACCATCATGTTTCATTTGACCAAAATGCAACCAAAAACATTTGTACGTGTTTTGCACGAATTTTTGCAAACTTGTGATTATTGTCCCATGCACCAGCACTTTTCTGACAGAGAGTATAAAACCTGTTTGTCGTGAAGATTGAACAATCACTTGATAGAAATCTTACGAGGAAATGCACCGATTGACGTCGGCGCAACGAGAACGGGCCAAAGGAATGACACAAATGGGCGCTTTCAACGGCGATATTGCAAGGACATTGGGTTGCACAAGACAAACCATAATTCGGCTGTTTAACCGTTTCAGTACGACAGGCCAGACATGTGATCGACCCAGAAGTGGACGTTCCAGAGTCACAACACCCCAAGAGGATCGCTATCTGCGGGTTATTCACCTACGCAACAGGATGTTGACGGTGACGTCATCAGCAGCCACATCATTGGACCATCGCGTAAGCCGATTCACAGTGACAAGACGACTTCGTCCTGCTGGCATGTATGGGCCTACCGACCGCTGCGTGGAATGGCCTTGACCTTCCAGCATCGTAGGAACCGTCTGCAGTGGTCATCACTACATCGCTGTTTATAGTTACAATGTCATTTTGCTGATAAAACACGTGTATTGCAGTGTGCTTCAACATACATTTTCCATTTCATCAAAAGGTTTTGTTATTTTTATCTTATTGGAAGAAACACAACCTGTGAACTTTCTTTTGCACATCAGTTTATAAACCCGGACGTCCTGCCTCATACCCGGCAAATATGTTTAGCGATTTCGAACCGTTTTGTTGTGGAGACACTTGACATGAACGGATAAAGTCTGGTGAAGGGCTGCATCATCCTTAGGACTGGTGGTCGACCTGAACGCTGACTGGTCTTAAAGGCGCTATATCACACCACACTTCTCTAAAAAGAGTATTACATTTCTCTCAATAATGCTAACTATCAGCCCTCAGGCAAGCTACCATATATTGAGATTACAATTTAAAATTAAAAACATCGAATGAATTACTAGTAATGCAACGTTGGATTAAATCGACTCTCGCGCCCTCTACTGGCCGAACATTATTTCAAGCAAACCCCATAGAGTTATGTCCCTTGGAGCGCTCTTTACGAATATCTTACAACGCAACTTGTCTTTGAAACCAGTTACCAAACACCGACAACACCGCGTGCGACAGTTTCCGATGTACGGAGCAATTGGTTACATTCCATATATGGCAAGTGTTATTGTTTGGAAGCTGTTTGCCTCGAAGTATCAATTATCGATTTCAGGCAATTTGGGATAATAAGTCTTTGATTGCATCAATAGGAAGCTCAAGTGAGTGCATATGCCCAAATATATTTATCATCCAAAACTGTGTTCCACAGGAGATATCGCTTGTGTGAGATCAAATGATATCTCCTAGGAGATATCGTTTTGACAGTAGATTTTGTACAATGCCCTGACAATGCTATGACGTCATGTACTTGATGACGTCACAATGCTATGACAGCGCTGAACTGCAAGTCTAATGACAGTACCATGTTCAGAGATGTACATTTTTCATTGAAAATTAATGAAGAGTGATTTTGGATGATAAATAGAATCTCACCCTCGTGTCTTCTGATATCAAATATATCAACACTCGTTGATAAAGTAAAAATATCCTCGGCAAGCCTCGGATATTTGTAACTTTATCAACTCGTGTTGATATAATTGATATCAGAAGACACTTGGGTGAGATTCTCTATATAACATAGGCCAAAATATTGTCGAAAAAGCGTGACATTATTCCTTTAAAGTCATTCTATGCGTCATTGTTTTAAGAGTGTATTTGGGTATCTAGGTGATGACTCTGCATGTCACGATAATGGAACATCAACCTGGTATCTGCCACCAAGTGCATTCTAAACGCATGGAAACGAAACAACGTAGAAAGCACTCACGCCTGGGGAATATAGGTGGTATTGTTATCAGCGTTGCACATACGCTTGTTTGGGCGATGAAAGTTCGAGTAGTATTTTTCATAAATGCCTTGGACATAGGTTACGAAGCAATGTTTTGTGTCCACAACATAGAAGTAAAAAAGGGTTTAAAGCAAGTAAATGTTCAACAATTCAAGTGAGTGAGTGAGTTTAATTTTACGCCGCACGTAGCAATATTCAAGCTATATGGCGGCGGTCTGTAAATAATCGAGTCTGGACCAGACAATCCATTGATTAATATCATGAGCATCGATCTACGCAATTGGGATACGATGACATGTGTCAACCAAGCTAGTGAGCATGACCATCCGATCCTGTTAGTTCCCTCTTAATACAAGCATGGGTTACAGAAGATCAATCCTAACCCGGATCTTCACGGGTCACAATTCTAAAGCGTCGTCTCAATAGACATAGTCTCCAAAGTTCTTACAATTCTTGTAACTTAACAATTATTGTCTACCTCTGAAACATCTAAAATTATATTTCATTGGTATTTTGTTCTTATGCAAAATGGAATATGTATTTCAGGTGAGCAGGTAAGTAATTATTAGGACACACGCAGCTGTCTTTGTTAAATACAATAACGACAGCTATATTTAGTGATTCAATTACCTGAAACGAGGGATATAGGTACATACATTTCGAACCCATTTCTATATTACACAGGGACCGCCTCCGTGGTGTAGTGGTTAGAGCGTCTGCCCGGAGAGCGGAAGATCGCGGGTTCGATCCCCGACCGCGTCTTTCCAGAAAGACGTTAAAAAATGGTACTTGTTGATCCCTGCCTGGCGCTCGGCATTAATGGGTACAACAAGGACTGGTCGGCTCGGAGTCAGTATAATGTGTCTGAGTGGGGTATTCATGCTTCACTGCGGCATGGTATCTCAGTGAGCTAGGACTATAAAACCAGCTTAAGTCTGGGCTAGTACAAGCAGCCGCACATACACATACGCATGCATGCACGTCGTCATATGAGCGAAATCTTCTCAAGCACGACGTAAAATCTAATTTCACCTCACCTCACCTATATTACACAGGACTCAGTTGTTGTTTTTCAAGCTGTATGACGAAGGTCTGTAAACCAGAACATCCAGTAATTGGCATCATCAGCATGGATCTTCGCAACTGGGATACGATTACTTGTATCAGCGAGTCTGACAACCCGAATCCTTAGCGCCTCTTACAACAAACATGGAGTGCTTACCCCGGCCTTCACGGGTTATTACGTTTGTAAACAACGGGTTGAGGTCTCTGTTCATGTCACAGATAATAAACTGGAAAGCCAGGGACTGACCCAATTTGGGATGGTTTTTTCATCTTTCGTATCAGGAGCAATCTTTATCTATCATTTCAGTCCAAGGACGCTGACCAAAGTAAGACAGAATGACTTGCTTAATATCATTGTTTATCTTTTGCTGATCTTATATGCAGCTCGTGTTAAGTGCAGTTTGCCTTAACCAGAGAATGTGTCTGATGATCTGAAGGCCCAACGTATTTCTTACTCCACCCATTCAGCTGCAATCCGAATTGAATGAGGTAAGTAATCTATTAAGAGCGTTCTTCTGTTGTCATTGTTCAAAAAAGCTGAAAAATAACGTATGCAGTTATAGACAGGCGAAGACAGTTTTAAAACCAGTGCGTTGTGTACGTTCAACTTGGGAGAACTAGACACAGAAAATTCTTTATGTGTTCTTTACCTTGCACTTGTGTGTACAAGACAATGCAAAGCTCATCACAGGAGATAGGTATTTCTTAGCGTTGCACGTTCACATGAAGAATTGTGCATACATTGCACGTTTTCTGTATTGGACAAGGCGAAGCTAATCCCACAAGAGGCGTGTTCTATACCGGAACTTTCTGTAATTAAGCCAACTTATGGAATATACTTTCTGGTTAGAAGTGTCTAACCTGGATAGGGGACACTCTTGCTGATCAAACGTTACGTTGCTGTAACCAAGAATAACTATTTTGTAATGTGTGATCTGCAGATCATTTTCTTATCAGCTCTTACAACTTTCAACTGCAAAATATACAATATCCAAACCTCAATTTAACTTACTATCAGGATAATCTTGCCCTCAAGGAATAATGAATTGGCAATCTAAACACAAACAGAACGAAAAATTGTAGTTTATTCGGAGAAGCAAAAATGGCAAAATTATTGAATCGATTTGTAATGCTGATAACTGTTGTATGCGGTCATGGATTCTGGCTTACAATCCTCAAGAATTCATTAAAATACCCATAAGCGAGCACAGTGTCAATGGCTGTATATGACGTTGACTTGTTGCATTCCATTCTTGATTTAGGGTTTGATCCAATACATGAAGATGTTGTACTGAAGGATCTCTCTGGCGTATTCTGAGGCCCATAGTGTGTACCAGAAATGTTCTATGGGACAGGGGTAGGGACAAAGGTAGAGTTGATACCTCCTCTTGACGAAAGAAATAACGGACGGCACGTGAATGATGTGGCCCAGCATTGCCATCCATAAATACAGGCCTATGTACAGGAGACGATCATCGAAATGTAGGACAACAACCCTGTCTAGGATGTCAGAGTATCGTTGTCAATTCGGATTTTGTTTCATCGACACAAGGTCAAGTTCACAGTCGTGTGAGGCAACCCCACACTATCAATGAACCCCGGCCAACAGTTCTTGATCCAAGATTATCCGTTGTGCATATGCAGAGTTTCTGTGGCACCAAACTCGAGCTCGGAGATCAGTCAGGAAGAAACTAAATCGATTTTCTTCCGTCCACTAAACCTTTCCCCATGACCTCGAAATCTGCTCACGTCGACACCACTTGACATGAAAGGATGAAATCTTGTGATTCTGAGAAGGGCCGTATCCTCCTTAGGTTGTAACTTGTGGTAGACCTGAACGCTGACTGTTCTTAAAACCATTAGTTTGCTGATGGTTTCTGACCAATCGGCTTATAGTCGATGAATGACAAGGAAAATTTGTTTCAATAGTCCTCAATGACATACCAGGATTATGCATACCAATAACATGTCATCCTGGAGCAGTTGTCACTGGAGGGGACCCATATTTTCTTATTAACAACGAATTAAATTGATTTTCTTATTTTACCGATCTGTAAGAACAGTGTACTGAATCTTGTTATTTGTTGAATGGCGTATAGCACGTGATGCTCAGCTTTGATCGAATCACGTGCATATTTAAAATCAATGTATTTGGCGAGCGAAGAGTCGAAATAGTCATGCCAGCAACCATAAAATATAATATGGACATAAATGGCCACATGGTGGTAAAGTAAAGGAGGGGGGGTGCTATTCCTTACAATCTGACATTTGACTATGACAACGGAACGTCATGAATGATGGCATCTTACCGACGAAGAATTATTGTGTTCAACAGAGTTTGGTTTATGAATTATTGTACAGAATCAGGTAGAAAGTGTGCCATTGTATTTAGATCACATATCACATTTGTATTTTTCAGACTGTGTCCAAATCATGGCTGTTATTAGATGTTGCAAACGACAGTTCGATTTGAATCTCATAACAGTCGAGCCAGTTCTATTTCTTTACATGATCGGGTCCTTTCTGACAAACCCAACCTTCCAGGCCTTTGTGTATAACAAGGTCTGCATTGACAAATACAACGAGACTCTCTGTGGCAGCCTGCGCAACAAGACGTTCCAAGAGGACCACAAAACAGAAGAGGATTATGTCCAGTCTGAGACGTCCTACTGGATCTTAAAGAAAAACATTGTGGAACGTATACCGGCATGTTTGATTGTAGTGTTTATCCTCGGATCCTGGGGTGACAAAGTGGGACGGAAACTACCTGTGATTTTACCCAGCGTGGGGACAACGTTGTCTTACATTGTGTATATGATTCTGTCAATTTATCCTTCAAGTAAAGTGGAGTATGTGATGATTGCTGCGGCACTGAATGGTCTGTCTGGGGGATTCACGGCTCTGATAATGGCTGTGTACAGCTACGTGACGCACACTGCTGATCCAGCCAATAGAACTACGCGATTGGGAATCCTGGAGGCTGTTATCTTCCTAGCTGGAACTCTAGGGGTCTTCATATCTGGAGTCATGCTGGACAATACAAGTTTTACATTCGTCTTCGCCTTCATGTGTGGGTGTACCTTTTTAGGAATGGTATACGCTGTCATACGTCTGGAGAACCTAACGGCCAGCACAACCAGACCCGAGAGTGAAAGTGTCTGCACATACTGGTTTCTGGGATCTGCCAAGGAGTCTGCTCGTTGTGTGATGAAGAAGAGGCAAGAGAAGAGAACTCTCTACATATTCCTACTGCTCATTATCTTCATAATCCTTATTATCGCAACAGTGTGTGAGTACATATCAACGTTTATTCCCTCATATACATATGGGTATGAATTAAGCACCGCTTGAATCCATTTGCATAGTTTTAAACATGTAGCAGGCTACCCTCACATACTGGAATGCACATGTAAAGCATATGCTTAACACAATATGTCAAGAGCTTTGGGTCGCATGTTCACGGGTATAAACTTCATAACTGCAGCATGTGCACTACGATTTTTTTAACTGATTTACTGAAAGACGACAGTGCTATCATTAACTTTTCTTGACAGGGCATGACGTAGACTTACAGAAAATACGCGATGGCATGTTAATGGCATGCATGATGCAGGGAAGTCCTGCCGCAACATGGGTTATTAGTTGACAAGTTGGCAAGTAACTTTGCAAGTAAATTATATTTCAAAACACATGCAGCATGTAGTGTGTTCAGACTTATCATATATAAAACGCGGATGGTGCTTAACTAAGTTTCATATGTGTAGTTGAAACCAGTGTAATCTAGTTACGCTGTATGCAATGTGCCCACACTAAACGCAGGTCTCCTCTTGGCGTGTTTCAGGTGAAGGGGACGTCCTCCTCCTGTACACAAGGCGAGCTCCACTCAGCTGGTCACAGACAACGTTGGGTTACTATCAGGGCCTGGAGAACTTCCTTCGTAGTTTAATGCTGGTGACAGTTCTTCCTCTGTGTAGGAAGATGAGGAACACCACTATAGCAATCTGGGGCTTGACGTCCAAAATCATCGGTCTGGTGGTATTGGGACTCAGCAAACGGACATGGCAAGTCTTTCTAGGTAAATGGCAACTTGTAAATATGTCATTCATGCTTCTTAGGTCACAAGGACAAAGGTGTATAATATAAATTGCAAAATAGATAGTTAAATAATTCACAAGTTGATTGCATATGTTAGCAAATGTATCTGTCACGTACACCATTGATGTGTGAAGAGCTTTACACAGTTATCACTTTATTATATTTCAGTGGCAGTGATTTCCATGTTTCAAGGCTTTCAAGCAGCCGTTGTTCGGTCACTCATGTCCAGTATGGTCGGCCAGGATGAACAGGGTAAGGTTCAGTTCACGTCCCATGTTGTAAGTATTGAAATAGACAAAGCTTGAATCACAAGTGATCCAGTACATACGAAACGCTAACGAAAGAAAACGTCAATCTCTGGATTATTGTAAAACAAGATTCTACTTAGCGTATTACCTGTGAAGATCCAGGTTACAATTGGTCTTCAGTAACCCATGCTTGTCATAAAAGGCGACTAACAGGATCGGGTGGTCAGGCTCGCTCGGTTGATACATGTCATCGTATCCAAATTTGTGTAAATCGATGCAAATGATGTTGATCACTGGATTGTCTGGTCCTAACTCGATTATAGCTGTAATATTGCTGAGTGCGGCGTAAAACTCACTCACTCACTACTTACAGGGCAAAAACGTGAAAACTGTATCACTGAAAAGGCGTGATGACACCAGGTGTCCAGGGGAAGACTTTGATCAAACCTGTCCAGTATGTCCAGCCCGGTTAAACTGAGAAAGGCATGTATGAGACTGATGTCAATAATAAGATTAAACTGGGTATATCGTGTAGTAGACTGAAGGTCAGGACAAATATGAAAACTGAATCAGTTTTAGTTTACTTAAAATACAACGATCATGCTACAGTAGGTTGTAGAAAAATATAAGCATGCTCGCTTTCAGCATACATCTGTTTACAGGGCGCTTGTTTGGACTCATAGCTGCCATGGATAGCATTGCTGTCTTGGTAGCATCCCTGATCTTCAACCAACTCTACCCAGTAACTCTTGATTTCTTCCCTGGCTTCAGCTTCATGGTGGCTGCTGGTCTGTCTGTCGTTGCTGCAGGGATTATGATGTGAGTCATTGTACCTATAGAGCCAAGGAAAAACATATATTATACCATAAAATAGTATGGGTGTATTGTGCCAGGCATGTATAAGATCGTAGATATTTTTAATGTTCATGTAGAACCATGAACGAATATCGCCAAGATGCCATAAAATAGTATGGGTGTATTGTGCCAGTCATGTATAAGATCGTAGATATTTCTAATGTTCATGTAGAGCCATGAACGAATATCGCCAAGATGCCATAAAATAGTATGGGTGTATTGTGCCAGGCATGTATAAGATCGTAGATATTTCTAATGTTCATGTAGAGCCATGAACGAATATCGCCTAGATGCCATAAAATAGTATAGGTGTATTGTACAAGGCATGTATAAGATCGTAGATATTTTTAATGTTCATGCTCCATCTGTATTTGAATTGCAGGTGGCTTCATGTTGATCTGAGAGGACTGATACTGGGTGACTCTTCCATTACAAAAGGCGTGACAGGAGACTCAGGTGACATTAGCAAAGGTACGTACGGGTTTGTGAAAAATCCACAAATGTGTGTGATTTTACGTCCGGCCAGCAATGGTTCTGTTTTAGCATCTCAGTGCGCCACTGAATCTCCTCACTCGTGAATTGTAAGCAGTTTTCAAACAGATCACAAAATTGTGACATTCAATATCCCATTTGAGACACATTAGTACCAATTGGCGTTAATTAGAATGAAGCCTGACCGTTGATCATGAAAACGGATGGTGTTAACATATCACGAAAGGACATATGGTGATGTTTATCTGTATATGTATATATCACGTAGTACGTGTTCTGCCTTTCTTGATGTTAATGTTTTCTGTGCAGCTCTGCTACAGTTCAGACTTGTGTTTTTGCCTCAGCTTTTCAAATTCGTTTTGCTGATCGCTAATTGTACACATTATTCACACTGCATCTGCATGTACATTCTTATGGTATAGTTCACGTCCTTTCTAAACATATGTCGGACTATACTGTAGGTATTCTCATGAGGTTGCTGTAGCTAATTCTGCTCGGCAAAGTAGCACAAATTCTGTTAATCAACCGGCCATGTGTTTTGGCGACGCTGACGAAAGGTTGTCTTCCCCAAAGTCCTCTTAAATAACAGTAGGAGTTAAAACAATGACAGTTAGGCCATTTTTGGTCGTCCTGCTACTATGATCGCCACTGAAGTCTACCTGGAAACCTGTGCAGGCTGTGTAAGTTTCTGCTTTCTGTATCTGTTGTGTTATTGCTTATGTGTTTAGGGTACATTTTCTTTAGCAGTTTGTCCTTAATCGTAGGTCATATAGATCTATAGATTAACTTTACCGTGCGAAGTGCATGTGTTTTTCTTCATAATGTGGTCTAATGTAGTCGTGCTTTCATCTAATTACCAAGAGGTAATTTCTAGCCAGGTGCCTGTGTCTGTATAGTAGGCTAATGCAGTCTTACTTCCACCATTTACTCACACAAGGAGTGATATTCGGCGTCCCTGATCTCTGTAAACAAGTATCGAATCATTAAGTGTATTTACACTAATCCAAGTGGTGATGGTTTATTGGTCCTTTTAACATCCTGGGAGTGATTTGCAAACACGTCCTAATTACCCGACAACTAGTTGCCACTGGCTTCATCATTGCCGGATCTGTGTATAGTTAGCGGTTTATTTGTCTCTTGTTATTGGCGGGGCGGCAGTTGTTCTGCTTGAGTGATTTGACTAATTACCCTAATTGGTTCTTCCAGCAGAAATGTGTTATGTTCTTATGGGCACTTTTGTTCCACTTGTTTGAATAGCTAATGCGTTGTCTGAATAAATTAACCACATGCCTTTGTCGTTGCATTTCTTGTTGTTTTCAACTACTTTTCAAATATAGGCAGTTGTCACAGTGACAATATATTGCAAATGAGTGTCTCCACTGAGTTCAAACGTTTCATCCTTTATTGATTGAAATCAAGTTGAAGTATGGTGTCTACGCCGAATACTTGTGGCCAGTGTCATTTGAATTAACTCAAATATAATCATTTTTCAACACATTGAATGTTCCTATCATATAACATGATTATTCAGTACATAGGCCATATATTGATGGACGAATTTTAGTGCCACAGTCTAAAATATACGAACATATACGTACGAAGAAGATCCTTTCTTCTACGAAGCTGATACTATCAGCCCATTGACAATGCCTCAAACACATGTTTTTGTAATAAGGATATTGGGTAGGAGACCTTAAAAAGTCGTCAGCTAATTTTAGTAACATATGTTTTACATACTGGCTTACAAATAATTAGTCACAATTTTTATACATGACTTCAGCTGAAACAGGAAACAAAATCAGGTTTAAAATATATCCATGACGTACACCACATGACGAAACGAAAATTCGCGAACGAGAACTCTTGTTGTCATCACGAATAGGGCCCCTACGTAGGTCACGGCACTTCGCGAGAACTAAGTACACGTTTCATACCTTTTCGAATGGTCTCATGGTTGTCAGTTGACAGTAAGGAACCGATAATCCTTGCAGGAATAACAAATTTCCGATTTAACCATCCTCAAATTATCCAACTATTACAACTCTCAACAGCCGTGACAGCCAAGCATGGTTGTACACTTGGTCCGTTCAAGTATAGTCATATCTGGCGGTCGAGCAATTTGAAACCAGAACTGGTTCTTGAACATACGCTTGTCACCGGAAATCTGGTACCGTAAGTAAGCTGGGCCCCTAGTGTGTGAAAATGGTATATGTCAAGTAGTTGGACGAAAACCAGCTTGACAGTCAAATATTTATTCCAGAGAAAACAACATTTAGTGTATTTGTCTTTTGTTTCAGAGGACATTCAAGTGGAGACTGCTACGACTCACATGTAAACATAATCCACGACATGCAAGCAGATCTTAGAGTTTTTGTCTACATACTCCAAATAATTCAAACCAGCCATAATATGTTCGAGAATAAGCAATACTCCAGATCGGGTACCAGTATCATCGCAAAGAATAAAAGAGACAAAACACATGTTTATAGCATGTTACTCTAATCAGTTGTTTCTGCTAAGGCAGCATGTTTGGGCTGAGCATACCTGTATGATATATGTTACATTTGGGATTACACTTTCTTAGTAAAGTACAGATCAAATAATGTACTATGGTTTATATGTATGTATCAATCTGAAATGTAAACATATTCTAGTAATAATATATGAATGATTTCGATGTCTTATACTTTCATACTCATACTTTCTACATATCTTTTTGCCTAAAATGATATTTACCCAATTCTGTATCATCATTTTGTTTATGCCAAAACTCACATTATGTCAGTGTGAGTCATTTTAGATTTAAAAGTCCTAAAAACATTTTCTTCATTTTTATGATGCTTTATCAAGCTCAAGATATATATGTTAAAAACACATCTTCATATTTCTTTTCTGGTATAACATCGCGTACCTATGTGCCTTAAAATTATATTTCTCAAATTCTATATCAACCTATTGTTTATGAAAAACTCTTCAACATGTATGTGACTGTGTGTCCTTGTTAATGCTACTTTGTGCGTTTAAAGGTCTTGTAAACATTATTTCATTTTTATTTTATTCATGTGTATCTGTATAGCGCCAATATCCAGCTCTGCTCAGCTGCTCAAGGCGCATTGGTTTTCCCTCTCGATCATTGGATGTCAATCTCAGACGGCACATTGAATTATCAATCTCAACTCCCTGGGGACCATACAACTCTTGCAGCAACTAGGCTCACCGAGTTGATGTGGCTTTCCCACCCTTACGAGGTACCCATTCACAGCTGGCACACAAATTACAAACTCATATGAAATAACAGACAATTCGTCATATGGTCATATACATTCCTACAGCTATGTACATGTGTCCTCCCATACTACATACCCCCTACAACTACATCCCATAGGAACTACAGCTTAAAACAACACATATTATGGTCCAGTGCACAGATTAACTACATGCTGTCACCTGCGTCTGCGTAATGGATTTGCCCAACACAAAACAAATAAAACATATGTAACATTTTTGCTGCGGCAGTACATGTTGGTTTTTGATAGTAAATAGTTTGCCTTCACAAAATGTAAATTTGCAGTCTTCAGTTATGATTGAACAAGTTCCGCATCGAGGTGTTTGACATTTTGTTACACTGACTGATAAAGTGTTTTTCATAGTATCACTTTTATACAAAATTGGAAGATTTGCTTTTATAATGGGCATAATAGTGCAGTTATTAGGATTGTAGGTACAAACAAATGGAAGAATGTCCATCTCTGTATTTGTTTCTTTTGATTTCATATGTGTCTCTCTTGGGACTTTTACTGCTTTCCGAACAGCCTTTTCAACTACCTAAGAAGATATGTCTTATATATCTATTACATATTACCTAGTGTCAGTAACGTCATACGCATGATGACGACACAGCTACTACCGTTATGCGTCGCCTATGACGACACTTAGTTTTCATTGTACACATGAAGTGCCGTTGAACGGCGAAAGATCGTGTGCAGATAAAATCTGGAGTTTTATATATAGATGTTTAGATAGTTCATCTATAGATAGGCTTATATATTTAGTGTGATAATTTAGTGTCCTCAGTGTTCAATCTGACCCATGTAGAACTAGTTTAGACCAGCTTCAATAAGTAGCCAACTTCATCGAGGTACTGGGTTTCAGTCTATAACAATACTATTTTAACTTAAAAACTCATTCGTTTACATTTCGCCTTTACTCCAATATACCTTTACCTTTACTCCAATATACACTAAACGCCAAAAGAAACGCTTTCTCTATCATATGAATACAAGAACATTCACTGACTACAGCATGCCCTTCTCTCTTGTCCTTTACTTTCTGGTTATTAGATCACCTATAATTACTGGTCAATAGGATTTTAAGCATGTAGTTCTTCTGGAGGAGCTGATGGGCTGTGCTCATTACATGCCATGGGGGTGCCTCTAATCAGATAATCAATTCCTTATTAATCCCTGTAGTTAATTTGGGATGTAGTTCAAATGGGGTGTAGTTCTTATGGGAGTAAACCTATGTACATACTTTCGAATAACTGAATACGTCGTGTCTTTTTGGGGGACCGTTCATAATTTATAAATTATGCTTTAAACTTATGGGAAGGAGGGGGACACTGATTTTGTACATGACATACAGGGAAATATGAAACATAAAATCATGTACATACCAAATAATCATAGTCAATTTAGTTTCTATTGTACTACAGAGGAAGTTACGAAAAGTAAACATGTTAAAATACAGACCAAAACGTCTGAGTTACAAAAGTTACTAAATTCAAAATGGAAATGAGCCACACAGAGCTACATGTGTCTGTGTGAGTGGACAGACGATTAGTAATCGGCTACACAGAAGGAACCTGCACGTCCGACGTCCACGTGTTATCCCATCACATTAACCCTTTAGAAGTCGTCGTTGGGCAAACGTTATGTGTTAGGATGAATCACTGTTTGCTTTGAGCTTCCATGACAGACGCAACGGAATGTGGCAAAGAAGCCTTGAGCACTTTCGTGCCGATAACAACAGTTCTTGGACTTGCTCTGTAATGGTGTGGGTTGGGATCACTGTGACTTGCATCAACATCAACTTATTGTTATTTACGGACGTGTCATTGGGCAATGCTGCCACGACAACATCCTGATGCTGAAATGACCAAGTCGGTGGTTGCGATAGTGAGTGAGTGAGTTTAGTTTTACGCCGCTTTTTGCAATATTCCAGCAACATCACGGCAGGGGACATCAGAAATGGGCTTCACACATTGTACCTATGTGGGGAATCGAACCCGAGTCTTCAGCGAACACTTTAACCACTAGTCTACCCCACCGTCCCGGTCGCCATAGTGTATGTCACTATTCTTCTGAACAACACTCATTTGACGTTCCATGAAACTCCAACGGTAACTTCACATTCATATAACTGTTGGAACAGAAGGGTCGATAACCAGTATAACCTCCTCGGGCGGCCGTGCCATTGACAAGAGAACCTGTAGGAGCGCTCTAACCGGAAGTCGTTGCAATTTCTCAGTGAGTGTTTCCGTAAGTTCTTGCAAGATCTGGTGTTGCTTCATATGTTGTAACACTTGCCTTCCCAGTTAATTCCAAATGGGTTCGGTCGTGTTCAAGTCTGGCGAAAGGGCAAGCTATCGTAGGTATCAACGCCGGTGTTACATGAAAGTTTTGTGTTGGAACTTCAGTATGGGGTGTGGCATTGTCATGTTGAAATGTCAGTCCAGGACCATGTAGCTGCACGAATGGAAGAAGGACTTGGGTCAACATTTGATCAACACTGTATTGCATTATGATTCTAGTGGACTACAGTCAGTTTTGATCGACCGTAGACACAAATGGATCACGAAACCATTCGGCTCCCCCTCCAAATCGGTCAACCTCACGCGAACATAACTATTTGCGTGATGTTCCCACCTCTGGTGCCACACCTGTCATAGGCAAAGCCTAAAGTAAAGCATGACTCGTCACTTGCTCCTCTGCCTATGGATGATTCTGGGTCAATACATGATTCCCCTGGACGACAGTCAGTTGACATCGACCATAGATCTCAAAAATCTCCCCAAACCATTATTAGGCTGCTCCTCCTCATCCGTCAACCTCAAAATATGCCCACCTCAGGATTCACACCGGTACCCTGCCATCGGCAATTCGTAACGGGTGGTGCCCCAGGCTTGGACGATCGGCAGCGGTGTCCGTATGCTGCACACGGGTCCTCGCACTATTGTCTGACGACGACAAGCCAGGGCCCGTGCATCTACTGCAACGGACTGTCCAGCATTTAGCCTACCGAAGGTTTCGAAGGTTTTATTTTTCTCAAGTTCCACCAACGGTGGAAAACAACTTGTATACATATATACACCAAGATGGCATTGGAGCGATATAATTGAGGCAGGATAATGTACAATACAAAATACACATACATATTTATATATACAAGGATGCCATTAGAGAATGATACAAATATTTAATTACATGTATTTATATCTAAACTTCTATTGATACATTAAATAAATTTTGACTGACTGAATTTGGTTTTACGCCGCTTTAAGCAATATTTCAGCAACACCACGGCGGGGGACACCAGAAATGGGCTTCACAAATTGTACCCATGTGGGGATTCGAGCCCGGGTCTTCGGCGTGACGAGCTCGAGCCAACGCTTTAACCACTGGGCTACCCCACCGCCCCAAATATATTTGAAAAATCTTTAGCATTTTTAGCTTTCTTTGAACAAAGTAATCGTTTAAGTGTGTAAAGGTTGGGCCAAATATATTTTGAAAAATCTTTAGCATTTTTAGCTTTCTTTGAACAAAGTAATCGTTTAAGTGTGTAAAGGTTGGGCCAGGTATTGACATACTGCGGTATATACAGCTGTTGCTGTTGGTGAAGAGCTTGGCACCTGAAAAGGTGGTGAAACTCATCACCAATAGCGGTTGAGTTACATAATTTGCAAATGGAAGGGTTATCATATATTTCATTTAACCCGCAATCATTTAGAAATATTTTAGACGAATGAAAACCATCTCAGTCTGTCTAACGTATCTGGGACATTACCCTGGATATAATTATACAGTGTAGTGGAGATTTTCAAGGTACTGGTACAAGTAGCAATCTTATGCCAAAAGGTTATTACACGTTTATATATATTGATATAAATTGGCTCTCTACCACATTTTCCACAGAGAGCAAAGTTTGGAGTTGCGTATCTTAATGAGGAAATTAGTTTTAAGAGTTTGAGGTGTAATCTTTCAATAGACAGTAAATGTTCAAATCCCCAAATTTCGGATTCATATATCATAATAGGTACGATCATTGTGTCAAAAGCTGATAAAATAAAATCTAGTGGTAAATTTATATTCCGAGCTTTTTTCAATAAAGCATACATGGCTTTTGTTGCACTCTCAACTAGTGATTTGATTGTAGTTATATATCTACCATTCCTATGAAGTTTGATTCCTAGATAAGTGTACAC